TGGCTTCCAGTTTCACCACTTCTTCACCAGCACTTGTTATTATCTGTCTTTTTGATTATAGCCATCCTAGAGGGGATGAAGTTATATCTCATTGCAGTATTGACTTGCATTTCCCTGATAGATAATGATGTTGAACATCTTTGCATGTGTTTATTGACTGTTTGTATATATTCTTCATATTGTTTGCCCATTTCAAAAGTTGGATTACTTAGTTGTATGTGTTGTTTATATATCCTGGATATAAGTCCCTTATCAGATACATAATTCTCAAATATCTGCACCCATTTTATAGGAATTAAGTTTTCAAACAGATGGGTTTAGATTAACAAGTATCAAGACCAACTTTGTAAACTACTGTTTCATTGCATCACCTTAGAAACCTTAATAAAATTGAAAATTAGTTGAGTTAGTAATTATCTGTTTGTTTACTTATGAGGTTAGTATACTAGTAGTATTTAATACTTTCTCTAGTTGCTGCTTAATGTGTTTCATCTCTGCAGTTACACTGTCTCCATCAAAGGTAAAGTTATTTCCTAGACTCATTTGGAATGAGAATATCCATGAAAGTGGGAAATATTTAAAGGCAAGTTGTTGCCTACTGCCATTTCTTAGAGTTGTTTTGCTGAGTGATTGGAACATCTCACCTAAGTACTCACTTTTCTGCATAAGGCTATGAACAGTCTCAGAGATTGTTTCGTGACTGGAAAGTGGGAAGATGAAAAAGATGCAGCCAAGGTCTTAGCAGAAGATGGTAAGTAAAGAGCTGGGTTCTTCAGGAAGACTGGCTTCTCAAACTTTATTTTCTTCTGAATCTTAGACAATAGTCAAATTGAAAATCATAGTCACTTGTGAAATGCTTTGGGGAATTCAGACAGGAGTAATGAGCCAGGTAATATTCCGGATTTTCCTTTTATGATGATCTTATTTTCTCAGTTGGCTGACTGATTTACTACATATGGACCTTAAAAGTGAGCAACTTTCCATAAATTTTATCATGTATTTGTTAAAAATAGATTTTGTGTGATGTGAAAAATATACACAAATAGCATTTATATTTTTCTTTTGATAATAAAGGTAGTATGCATTGTGGAAAATTTAGAATGAAAAATACAGAACATACCGGAATTCTATCAATCTATAAGGAAACCTTTGTTAACTTCTTGAAGTATTTACTTCTAGTCACTTAAAAATCATATGTATAAACCTTTTTAGTTGTACTTTATATAACTTTTGAGAGGAGGATTGCTTAAGTGATGTACTTTATATAAATTTTGTCATCAAATTTTTTCAAAGGTTTCATTTTTATTATTTGAATATCATACCATAATTCAAGTCACAATTTTTTCAACATCTAAGTAGTTTTGTACTTTGCTTATTTTATAAAGAACTCCACACTGAACAACTTTGAAATAATTCTTGGCTCACACTTTTTATGCTCTGTTACCCAGGCTGGAGTGCTTTGGTGTGGTCACGGCCCACTGCAGCCTCAGCCTCGCAGACCCAAGTCTCCTGAGTAGCTAGGACCACAGGCATGCATCACTATCCCCAGCTAATTTTTTAATTTTTTTGTTCCGACAGTCATTTTCTGTTGTCCAGGTTGATCTCAAACTCCTAGGCTTAAGAGATCCTCCTGCCTCAGCCTCCCGAGTATCTTGGACCACAAATGTATACCACTATGCCTGGCTAATTTTTAATTTTTTTGTACAGATGGGGGTCTTGCCATGTTGCCTAGGCTGGTCTTGAATTCCTGGGCTTAAGCAATCCTCCCACCTTAGCCTTCCAAAGTGCTGGGATTATAGGCATGAGCCACTGTGCCTAGTCTGTAGTATTTTAATGTATTCTTTACATATATACAATTTTTTTTCCTGGACTTTCTAGTTTATATCATTGATCTCTGTTGGTTCATTTATTATTACTATAATTTAGAACCCTATGTAGCTTTATCACATTATTAAGACACCAGTTATTAAAACTGTGTCTCAACAGTTTCTTTCTCTTTTTGTTCTGCTGGGGGGCTTTTTTAAGGATTCTCCTGACTATTCTCACTTCCTTAGGGTTTTTTCCATAGGAACTTAAGAATCGTCTTTTGTTTTCAAAAGAAAGTGTGGTGGGTTTCTTTTTTAATCACTTTAGTGAGGTATAATTGATGGTAAACTACAGTGTTTAAAGTGTACAATTTGATAAGCTTTAATATGTGAATATACCATCGCCACAATCAAAATAATGAACACATTTATCACCCTCACAGTTTTCTTACGCCACTTTGTAACCCTCCATCCTGTCCTCTTCCATCGCCAGGTACATTCAGTTGCCTTGTGTCACTATTCAGTAGGTATTCCCTTTAGAATTTAATCAAAATGGGATCCTACAGTATGTGCTCTTTTCTGTCTAACTTCTTTTTCTCAGCATGATTATTTCAAGATTCATCCATGCTGTTGCATCTTCATTTCTTTTTGTTGGCTAGTGGGTAGTCCATTGTATGATGTGTAGCAATTTATTTATCTGTTAACCTGTTGATAAACAATTATTTCCAGGTTTTGGCTATTATGAGTAAGGTTGCTGTGAACATTTTTGTAGAAATCTTTATATGAACCACCACTTTTATTTCTTTTGGGTAAATAAGTAGTTCAGAATGGACTAAATAGGTCATATGATAGGTACACATTTAAGTTTTTAAGAAATTATCCAACTGTTTTCCAAAGTGTTTACACCATTTTCCATTGCCATCATAACTTTATGTGACTTCCGGTTGCTTCACTCTACATCTTTGCCAGTACCTGGTAGTGTCAGTCTTTTTAAATTGTAGAACCTTCTTTTAGGCATAGAGTAGCATCTTGAAGTTTTAGTGACTAATGGTATTGGACATTTTTTCATGTGCTTATTTGCCATCTGTGTCTTCTTTGATGAAACATCTGTTCAAATCTTTTGCACATTATTTTAATTTGGCTACATTCTAAGAAATTTTATGTATTTTCGATACAAATTCTGTATCACATGTGATATGCGATTATTTGTGCCTAGTGTGTGCCTTGTCTTTTCATATTTTTAATAGTTTTTCACAAAGCAAAGTATTTAATTTTGGTGTAGGTCAATTTATCAAAATTTTCTTTTTCTTTTCTTGAGATGGAGTCTTGCTCTGTCTCCCAGAGTGCGATGGGATCTCAGCTCACTGCAACCTCTGCCCCCTGGGTTCAAGTCATTCTCCTGCCTCAGTCTCCCTAGTAGCTGGGATTACAGGCACCCACCACCACACCCAGCTAATTTTTGTATTTTTAGTAGAGATGGGGTTTCACCATGTTGGCTAGGCTGGTCTTGAACTCCTGACTTCAGGTGATCCACATGCCTCGGCCTCCCAAAGTGCTGGGATTACAGGCATGAGTCACTGTGCCCTACCCAAACTTTTCTTTTATGGACTATGCTTTTGATACTGTATGTAAGAAATCTTTGCTTCATCTAATGTCACAAATTGTCTTTTATATTCTACAAGTCTTACAGTTTCAGGTTTTACATTTAGCCCTATAATCCTTTTTGAGTTAATTTTTTTTTTATGGTGTTGGGTATGGATTTAGGTTCCTTTTGACATATTGATATCCACTTTTCCCAGCCCCATCTGTTGAAAGACCATTTTTTCCCCATTGAATTAGCCTGTATTGGTTGGCCATATATGGATGAATATTTCTGGGCTCTCTGTTCTGTTCCTTTGATGTATTTGTTTATTTTTATACCAATACCAACATTGTCTCAGTGACTTACAGCTTTATACTTAGTCTTGGAATTAGGTAGTTTTCAACTTTAGGTAGTTTTGCAAACTTTAGTCTCTTTTTCAAAGTGGTTTTGGTTAATCTAGGTTCTTTGCATTTTCATATAAATTTTAAGATGAGCATGTCAATTGCTACCAAAAAGTCCACTGCAATTTTGATTGGGATTTCATGAAACTTGTAAAACAATTTGGGAAAATTGACATATTAACCACATTGACTTTTCTGATCTATGAACATAGTAACTCTCCATTTTTCTTGTTCTTTAATTTCTCTCAACAAAGTTTTCAGGATACAGGTCTTATACAACTCTCAACAATTTATTTTCATATCAACTCGTATTTGTGTATGGCTAACATGTAAGAAATACAGTTTATTTTTTATATTGCTCTGTATCCTGCAATGTTGCTAAATTACTCATTAGTTTGTATTTGTTTGTTTGTTTGTTTGTGACAGAGTCTCTCTCTCTTTGTCACCCAGGTTGGAGTGCAGTGGTGTGATCTTGGCTCACGGCAGCCTCTGCCTCCCAGGTTCAAGCAATTCTCATGTCTCAGCTTCCCAAGTAGCTGGAATTACAGGCAGCCACCACCATGCCTGGGTAATTTTTGTATTTTTAGTAGAGATGGGGTTTCACCATGTTGGCCAGGCTTGTCTTGAACTCCTGACCTCAAGTGTGTATTTGGAGGGGAGGGGTAAACTTTGACTAAAGAGTGTTGATGGTTTTCTAAGTAAATACTTCTTCCTATCCTAAGGATTGTTTTCTTTTATGCTGCTTTTTCTCCTGTTCTGCACAATAAAGCCTGGGGTTCCAACTTCTGCTTTGATCTTTCACTCTGGTCTAATCTCATATGGTTCTCCCAATTTCTGTGCAGGATGGTTCTGGGAGCCGAGCAGGAGCCCTCTTTCTCTACAGAGAGGCTAAGATAGATGCCAGTAGTTTTACTTTCTTTCTTTCCTATCTGGATGACTTAACTTTTCTTGCCTTACTGCCCTGGCTTAAACTTTCAGGAAAGTGTGGATAAGAAGTCAAAGTAAAAATCCTTGCTTTGTCCTGATTTTGCTTATTTTCCAAGTGAACTTAAGAATCACCTTTCCTATTTCCAAAAGAAAACTTTCTGGTATTCTTTTTTCCTAAGAAAACTTTTAATTTTGAGGTAATTGTAGTTTGACATGCACTTGTAAGAACAAATACAGAGAGATCTCCCGTACCTTGTACTATAGCACTATCTGTGTATATATGTACCATATATACTATGTGTACTGTAGTACAAGGTCACAGCCTGGATGCCAACATTGATACAATCTGCTGATCCTATGTAGATTTTTCCAGTTTTACTTGTGTGTGTGTGTGTGTGTGTGTGTTTTACGTGTGTGTGTACTTCTGTGCTCTTTTATCACATGTGTAGGTTTGTGTGTCTACCAACAGTTAAGATACAGAGCAGTTCCATCACAAGGATCGCTTGTATTGCTGTTTTATAAAATACCCACACCTCTGCTGTTCCCCAGCCCCCAGTTCCTTCCCTTGTGAACCATAGTGTGTTTTCTGTTTCTACAATTTTGTCATCCTCGAGAATGTTAAATAAACAGAATTATACAGTCTATAATCTTTTGGGAGGGGCTTTTTTTCACTCAGCATAACTTCCTGGAGATCCATTCATGTTAGTGTATGTACCACAGTTCATTCCTTTTTATTGCTGAATAGTGCTGCATTGTATAGGTGTACTGGTTTGTTTAACCATTCATCTGAGATCAAGCTGGGTTGTTTTCAGTTTGTTTTGTTCTGTGTTTTTTAAAGAAAGGGTCTTGCTTTGATGCCCAGTCTGGGGTGCAATGATGCGATCTTGGCTCTCTGCAGCCTCGACCTCCTAGGCTTAAGTGATCTTCCCACATCAGCCTGCCAAGGATCTGGGACCACAGGCATAGACTACTGCACCTGGCTAATATTCATATTTTTTGTAGAGACAGGATCTTGCTGTGTTCCTCAGGCTGGTCTTGAACTCCTGGCCTATTTTCCATTTTTGACTATTAGAATTGAGCTACTATGCACATTTGTATACAAGTTTTTGTGTAAATATGCACTTCCCACTTTTCTGGGAAATAAATGCCCAATAATGCAATTGCTCTGTCATATGATAATTGCACAGTTTCATAGGAGACTGCCAGAGTAGTTGGGCCATTTGATGTTTCTACTAGCAATTATGTGAGTGATCCAATTTATTTACATCCTTGCCAATGTGTGGTGTTCTCACTATTGTTTATTCTAGCTATTCTAATAGGTATGTGATATTTCACTGTGGTTTTAACTTCCTTGATGACTAATAATGGTGAGCATTTTTTTTCATGTGTTTATTTGCATTTTTATATCTTTTATACAGATATAAAATATCTGGGGATGTCTTTGGATTTTTTTTTTTTGCACTTTTAAAAATTGAGTTGGGTTGGGTACTGTGAGTTCGTTACATATTTAACTCCATTGTCAGATGTGTGATTTGCAGATATTTTCTCCTAGTCTGTAGTTTTCACTTTCTTAACAGGGCCTTTCACAGAGCAAAAGTTTTTATTTTTGATGAAATCCAATTTACCAGTTTTTGTTTGTTTGTTATAGGGAATACCAAATTTGTTTCAAGTGGAGGAACTATTTCCTATTCTTTGATCCTGAAGCTTTTCTCCTATGTTGTTTTCTAAAAGTTTTTTTTTTTTTTTTTTTTGAGATGGAGTCTCGCTCTGTTGCCCAGGCTGGAGTGCAGTGGTGTCATCTCAGCCCACTGCAACCTCTGCCTCCTTTGTTCAAGGGATTCTCCTGCCTCGGCCTCCTGAGTAGCTGGGACTACAGGCGCATGCCACCACATCTGGCTAATTTTTTGTATTTTTAGTGGAGATGGGGTTTCACCGTGTTAGCCAGGATGGTCTCGATCTCCTGACCTCGTGATCTGCCCACCTCTGCCTCCCAAACTGCTGGGATTACAGGCGTGAGCCACCGCGCCTGACCCTAAAAGTTTTGTAGTATTTTTTGTTTTCTCTTTACACTCATGATCTATTTTGATTTTATGAGATATGAGGCTTAGGTCAAGGTTTATATTTTTGCATGTGGGTGTATAATTTTTCTAGCACCATATGTTCCATTGAATTGTTTTTGACTTTTGTAAAAAAATAGTTGAGGATCTTTGTGTGGATCTGTTTATGGGTTCTCTTGTGTTCCATTGACTTCATGTGTCAATCCCTTGGCCAGTACCACCCTTGCTGTGTAGGTTCCTGTAGCTTTATAGTGAGTGTTAATGTTGAGTTAGAGTGTCTACTCTTACTTTATTCTTCTTTTTCAAAATTGGTGAAGCTATCCCAGGGCTTGTGACTTTCTATATAAATTTTAGAATAAACTTGTTTATGTGTACAGCAACTTAGCTAAAATTTTGATAGGAATTGCATTAAACCTATAGATCAGTTTGGGGGAGAACCTTTTTCTAGTTTGAATATTAAAATATGTGAACACAGTATACTTATTTATTTTAGTTTTTCTATTTCTTTCATCAGTATTATGATTTTCAGCATACTGGTTGGAAATATGTTTTGATAAGTTTAGACATAAGTATTTCATTTTGACTGATTTTCATTTGTCTTTTATCCTGCTAAACTCGCTTATTAGTTGTAGGAGGGTTTTGTTTTGTTGTGTTTTTGTAGATTGCCTGGGATCATCTACACAGAAAATTGTGTAGAAAACATAGGGACAGTGTTATGTCTTTCTTTTCAACCTGTATGGCTTTTCCTTCGTTTTTTTTGTTTTTGTTTTTGTTTTAATTAAATTGTTTGGGGATAGAGATGGGATCTTGCTATGTTGCCCAGGCTGGTCTCAAATTCCTGAGCTGCATTGATCTGCCTGCCTCAGCCTCCCAGAGTGCTGAGATTACAGGTGTGAGCGACCTCTCCTGGCCTTCTTTCTGTTTTAAAATTTTCTGCCTTAATTCAGTGACTGGACTTTTAGTACACTGTGGAGTAGGAGTGCTGAGAGTGGACTTCCTATGTTGTTCCCAATCTTTTCACTGTTATCTGTTTATTATCATGATAGGGTGTAGAATTTTGTCTAATGCCTTTTGGTGTCAGTTGCTACAGTCATCTGGATATGGGTTTCACTCTTTATTCTTTTGATATAAATTACATTGATCTTTTCAATTTTATTTTTTGAGACACAGTCTTCCTCCATCACCCAGGCTGGAGTGCAGTGGTGCGATCATGGCTCACTGCAACTTCGACCTTCTAGGCTCCAGTGATCCTCCTGCCTCAGCCTCCCAGTAGTTGGGACTACAAGTGTGTGCCATCATACCTGGCTAATTTGTTGTTGTTGTTTGTTTGTTTGTTTTGTAGAGCCAGGTCGTACTGTGTTGCGCAGGCTGGTCTTCAACTCCTGGCTTCAAGCTATCCTCCCACTTCGGCCTCCCAGTGTTAGGTTTATAGGCAGGAGTCACTGCACCTGGCCCGATTCATTTTTTGAATGCTGAACCAGATTTGCATTCCTGGAATAACTCTCACTTGGTCATAAATAAAAATAAAAATACAACATATGGAAATGTGTATTTTTTTTGTTTTTTCTTTTTATGTCAGATGGTTAAGGTGTTAATATTGTAACAAAGGTCAAGGGTGGCATATCCCACATACATGCATGAATACCCAGTCATCACACTTATGAACTACGAAAAGATCGCCATGTGAAAATTTTTATGCAAATCTTTGTATGTGTTGTTGGATTCCATTTGATAGTATTTTGTTGAGGACTTTTTGCATTCATGAGGAATATTGGTCCGTGGGGGTTTTTTTTGTTTGTTTTCTTTTTGTGGTGTTCTGTCTTCATCTGGTTTTGGCATCGGGATAATCCTAGCCTCATAAAATGAGTTGCAAAGTGTTCCTTATTCTGTTTTCTGGAAGAGTTTGCATGGAATTGGTATGAATTCTTAAATATTTGGTGTAATTCTCCAGTGAAACCATCTGGGCCTGGAGATTTCTCATTCAGAAGCTCTTAATTACAAATTTTGTTTCTTTAATGGTATAGGATGATTCAGGTTATCTATTTCATCTTGCCTGAATTTTGGTAGTTTATGATTTTCAAGGTATTTTAAGGCCCGTTAGGGAAGTGGAAGTTGCACTAAGTGCCTTCTCGAAGAGACCAGCTTGGGTAGTCTGAGGGTGATGTTTAGAGTATTTGCCTAATACTCTTTAACGGCTGCGGGAGCCTTTTTGATAACCCCTGTTTTATTTGTGATGTTGCTGGTTTATGTCTTCTCTGTTTTTATCTTTGTCATAAAATTTATTAATTTTGTTGATTCTATTCGAATAACCAGCTTTTTCTTCCATTGATTTTTTTCTGGTTTTTTGTTTTCAATTTTATTGATTTCTGCCCTTTATTATTTCTGTTCTTCTGCTTGTTTGGGGTTTATTTTGTTCCTTTTGAAATTTCTTAGATTATTGGTTTATCTTTTATCATTTCTAAAGCGAGCATTTAGTGCTTAAATTTCCTTCTCAGCACTGCTGAGCTGCACCCCACAAATGTTCAAATGTTGTGTTTTCATTCATATTTCCTTTACCACTTCTTTTTGGCCCATGCATTATTTA